TGCCTGCAGGACTCTCCTCCCCTCCCACCCCTTCTCCCCCACCCCGGCCAGCAGTGTTACAAGACTCAGACAAAACTACCTCCGGGATGGCAGAGCCGGGCCGGGCCTGGGCTCGGCCATTCCTTTGGCTTTTCACTCACTTTTGTGACTTGCTGTACAGAAAAAAAGAAAAAGAATATATTTAAATTTGGGAGCTCTATTTATGTATAAAAACTCACCAACGGTGGCCACGAGCTGGAGGCAGGAGCTGGCACCTGGCTGAAGGTGGACACTTGGGGGAGGGAATTTCGGTCTGTCTGTCCGTCCAGGCATGAGAGAGAGACACTGTTGTGGACATGGCCTGCCCCATTTGGCATCCCTGGATGGCTGCTGAGAGGTGGGTGAGGAGCAGGAGTGGGGGCTGGGGGCTGCCTCAAGGTGACTGCACCTCTCACAGGGTGTGGGGGTATTTTCCCAAGCTGCCTGCTCATAGGCAGGAGAGGGGCTGTGGGGATGCATCTTGCATTGCAGGGGGTAGCCTCGGTGGCTGCCAGCTCCTGCCCGCTCTACAACATCTGCCTTCCCAGGGTTTCCTCTCTGCAAGAGGATGATTCATCGAGGGATGGAGCTGGGGCAAGGAGCCCATGTCCCCCAACACCCTGGAGCAGCCGGTGGAGCAGCAGGTGCCCACTGTGAGGAGACCCCAGGTGAAACATGGAGCTGGGTGCCCTGGGGAGGTGGCAGCCCCAAGGCCTCTGACCCTGACAGGACTTTGTCCCCTCTTCCCAGGGCAAGAGCAGGATGCAGCAGCAGACAGCAAGATGCACTGGCCGCAGGATGGGCAGCCACCGCTGTGCCCTGCAGTGTGGTGAGGGACCAGCGCAGTACCCACATCTCCCTGATGTCTGCAGTCTGCCCCTGGCACCACGTTTCTGCTCTCCTGTCTGGTGCTGTTGGAGAACTGGGGTTCAGGCACTGCCCTGTCCCCTGTGGTACAGCATGTGGGAGGGGAAACATCCTCACAGAGAAGCCCTGCCTTCCTCTGGGACCTCCTGTTCTTCATGGCATTTTCCAGGGGCAGCCGCTGTCCCTAAATCCCCCAAACTACCTCTGCTCTTGCTGCTTTCTGGGGGAAGCCGTGGGACTGGGCTGACATCTTATGCCCTGAGGACAGGGCAGTGACACTGGAGCAGCTGAGGAGGAACTGACTTCCTGGCGTGCGTGTCCTCCCCTGTGTTCCTTGCTGACACCTCCAGAATGAGGACATTGCCTGGAGCTCGGCCCTGCAGCAGGGGCAGGAGGGGGTGTGGCAGACCCTGGGATCCCAAACGGACTGGGAGTCCTCCTGTCCCAGAAGAGCAAGGCTGAGTAGGAAAAATCCCATCCTACACCCACCCTTCCTCTTGCTGTAAGGAGGGGGGGGAAGCCACCCCCAAGCACACCCTCCCAACCCAAGGAGGGGCACTGCCCTCTGTGTCTGGCCCCACGTGCCCCCCGGCAATAACCGCGGCTCTGTCTGGACGCGGCGTGGCAGCCTCTCTCTGCAGGCAGGAAGGCAGGACGGATGCGGAGGCGGGGAGGGGGGCGGAGGCTTTATTTGGGCTGCAGGCGCGGGCCCTGGACGGTGAGGGCGGATGGCTTGTTGGTGAGGGGGTGCCACTGGCCCTGGATGCTGGGGCTGTCGGTGTGGAAGGGCTTGCGGATGCGCACGATGTCGAGGCCGGACTGGCGGGCCAGCTTGGTGGCCAGTTGCAGGATCTCCTCGCACGTCTTGCTGGCGATCAGCTCCTCCCGCACCGTCCCGTTCACTGCGGCAGAGCAGGAAGGGTCAGGCCGGGCTTCCCCCCTCCCCCGGGAGGCCCATCCCACCCCCCGGCC